TATTTTTTTTTTTTGGGAAAAAAAAATACAAAAAGAAGTTTTTTTTTTTATTTACAAGAAAAAAAAAAAAATTTTTTTTTTTTTTAAATTTTTTTTTTTTTTTTTTTTTTTTTTTTTTTTTTTTTTTTTTTTTTTTTTTTTTTTTGGTTGTTAGCCGCAATATGGCTATAAATGGAAAAGAACGAAATCAGATTTTTGATCATCGTTCCGTTCTTGGTAAAGCCTTCATTCTTTTTTTTTTTTGAAGTTTTTTGAGCCTTAAAAAACCAAAAATACAATATAAATAAAAAAAAAAAAAACCTACTCAAAATCATTTACAAATATAAATATAAAACGATTTTATTCTAAAAAATTTTTTTTTATACATTTTTGAAAAAATCACCTTTTCTTAAACCGCAATATATAAAAACTTAACTTGTCACAAGTTTTTATTTTTTTTTTTTGACAAAAACAATTATAATTCGTAACCTCTATTCTTTGTTAATTGAATATATTTTCTCTTTGTTTCTTTCACTTATATTTTTGGTTTCAAAGACTCATTGTTCAAGATCAAAATATATATATATCCATCATCATTTTCTTTTCATAATATTATTTTACTAAAAGATTACTCTTGAATATTTTTTTTTTTTTGAAAGAGCAAATACCCCCTTTTCCCTTTTTTTCTTTTTACACATTATCAACCGTGGCGTTCATAACGTTTTTTCTTCAACGTATAATTCCCCTTCCAAAAAAAGTTGCAAGACCTCCTCCAAACTCAGCATCAACCACACCAAGAACATCTCGTCGTTTCTCATCATCATCAGCTTCCTCCTTTCTCTTTCCCCAAAAAAAACATCAAATAATATTGGCAACAACGTTGCCTAATGAAATATTAATAGAAATATGCAGTTATTTACACCCTTCTGATCTATACAATTTAACCTTGGTGTGCAAGCGATTTCGAAATCTGCTGTGGAATAAAACAAATGAATCAACACAATTGATTTGGCGTACTTCGCGATTAAATTTTATTCCACATTTGGTACTTCCATGTCCCGATGGAATGAGTGAACAAAAGTATGTATGGTTGATGCTTTTGTTAAATAAATGTATGTTTTGTGAGGAAAGAGATAAACGGAAACTATCAATGTATTGGGAATTCAAAATGTATTGTTGTCAACGTTGTTTGGCTCAAAGAACCGTTAGGTAAGGATTCAATTTTATTTATTAATTTTTGAAAATCGCTTTTCTTTTAACTAATCTCTTTCTTTTCCTTTTTTTGATCACAGCCGTGATACATTAATTAAAGAATGGGAGATCTCTGAAAAGTTATTAACATGCATAGTTCCACTGCCACCAAATGCGCAACGACCGCAACTGTTTTTAATGAAACAAGTAAAACAAACAAAAAAAGAATACAACAAATTATCAATAACAAAGAAAGAAAATTGGATAAAACAAAAACAAAAAGAAATTAATATGTTGAAAATTGAAAATAAGGAATACATTAAGCAACATGATTATGGGAGATATGATTATAACGAGAGATTGGAAAGGCTATTTAGTACTTTACAAATGAGTACTGACTATGCTTATCGAAGAAGATAATGAAGGGTTTTGTCGGATGGTGGAAAAAAAAAAACAGTAATAAGAAAGTGAAGAATTTTTTTTTTTTTTTTATGATATTGAAATTTTGGGATTCGCAATTTAAGGTCATCATTGATTATGACGGACGTATCGTTGATGTATAATAATAATTAATATGTATAATAGTTTTAATTTTTTTTTCTTTTTTTTTTTTTTTTTTTTTTTTTTTTTACGTTGAAAATATTTTCCGAACGAGAATTTTAATTTACGAAAAAAAAAACAAACAAAAACTTTTATTTCCTCTTTTTTTTAAAAAAAGGGTGAATGGATTCTTATTATTGAATCATTTAAACAGATAGTAGGGCCTTATTGAATGGCTTTATGAACAATATTTTGTAACCTTTTCTTATTTTCACTTAATTGAGGATTGATGATGATGTTAATCTCCTTTTGTAAATAATAATTATAATGAGAAGAAATTTAATAACAAAAATAATTAAAGAATTCCAAAATTTTGAAAACAAAGTTCTCTTATCGAACAATCTGAATATGAATACAATATTTGTTATAAAAATTAAATTCGTTTTGGTGCGGTTATAAACCAGGATTCCGGATTTCGCTTTGCATTGCATAAAGTTGCATCTATTGCGGAGTATAATCTAATTTTACCAATACCAAATTTATTACGTAAATCATATGCAAGTTACCTGTGCAAGATAAGAAACAAATATCTCCATACATATCAATGCATTTACATAAAAAAAAATATCCGATACTTGGAAATAAATGAAACTTTTCTTTGTGTTAAAATATATACATTACATACACTAACTATAATTACATTACGAATTTTTCTACAACATTATCTACTGTATAACCCATGATATAATGACGGATGGATCTGGACAAACGTTTTATTGTGGCTTGCAATTGCGTTCCTTTTTATTTTTATTTTTTTTTTTAAAAAAAAATAAATATAATTACAAAGTCATTACGCTAATAAATAGCCGTTCTTTTGAATTGCTTCTGAAAAGGTCCAAACTACTACCAAATATATATTTTTTTTCGCCAAATAAAATTTCTACAAGTTAATTAACCATTTGTGAGTAACAAGGTGGCTGGTGAAAAATTTTAAATGAATGGCTTAGTATTATTTACGTGATCATTAAAATAAAAATATGTGGCATAAACATTCATTAAGAAAAAATATTATTCTGCGCCAAATTGCGCTTTTATTTGTTTCTACGCCACACTGCCCTAAGATTTGCTGCGCATAGTCATTGTTATAAAAAAACGCGAGATAAAAGAAAATAATCTTTTAGTTAAAAAATTAAACCAATTTTCACTCATCTAATTTTCGTTTAATGAACTTTTCATGATTCATATTAACTAAGTTACAACGAAAGAATTTGTTTTATAGTGATATTGTTCTTTTAAGAGTTATGGTCATCAGTAAATGCCTGATATTATTGAAAAATACTACAAACAAATTACCCGTCGGATCACAGACATAATTTTAAAATCATGCATTATTGTATAGAGAGGACATGTATTTATAAAGAATAGAAAAAATTCAGAAATCATATAAGCTTGAGACAAAATTAGAGTGTGCATTTAGAAAGGATATAATGGTGCATGTATTTTAGAAAGTTTGTTCATGTAAATTTTTCAATTGGTAATAATAAAATAAATTTTTCTCAAAATTTTTCTCCTTTTTATATAAAAGATACAGTTGTTCATGTTAAAAAGTTTTTCTTTAAAGAGAGGTTATTTATTTAATAAGATTTTTTAATAGATATAAAATATGTTATAAAATATATTTAGGAAGTACAGTTAAATATAATCATATTATTGTATTAATAATACTAAATATGTTTTATATATTAATATTATATTATATCCTATTCTTAAGCATTGATAATTATGAATAAAATAATTTGAATAGAAAAATAAGAAAAAAATATATATTAAAGCTGTAAAAAAAGTATATGTTCTTACTCAAATATTCTTTCAAGTATTTATTTATAAATTAAGCATTAAATCAAAATTATTAGAATTTTTCTAATTGTAAAAGCTTTTAACAAAGAAGTTAATATGTTTAAAATAAACTTAAAAAATTATATTCAAAAATAAAGTTTATTTAATAATACTTTAAAATAAATACATGCTCAAAAAATAATATGTATTAAAAATAAACTGCATTTTTAAAATAAAAATACATATATATTCAAATAAAATAATTATTTAAATAAAATAAATAAATCTCAAAAAAAAAGTGTTTAAAATAAATATTTTTTGTATTCAAATGTATTAAAAATAAAATATATATAAATAAAAATGTTAGAATATATATATATATACTTAACTTTTAAAAGATAAATAAAATAAAAATATTTAAAGAGTTTATTTATTTATTAATTTAATTCTTTTTTAATAAAACTAAAAAATGAAGTTTTTTTAAATAACTGAAATCTTAAACTAATTATAATAAAATTTTCATGCTAGAAGAATTATTCTTATTTACTTATTTTATAATGATTTAATTATTATCTAATTATTATGCAATAAACTTATAATTTATAATATTACTTTATTCTAATTATTATTTTATTATTAATATATTTAAAGCTTATTTTTTCAACTCTTTTTTGGTATTTCTAATTTAGTTTACTATATATATTATTATATCTAAATTAGCTAAATAATAATTATTTTCTTTAATTATTATTTTAGTTAAGATTTGTAGATCATTTTCTATTAATATTTTATTATTAAATGATATTGATTATATTAATCATTTTGTATCACAATTTTTTTCATTTTTGTAAATCCCTTAAATTACAATATTATATTTATTAAAAAAATTAAAAATCTGTATAATTTATATTGTTTTTTAATTTATAATTAATTCATTTAAAATAATAATATATTTAATTTAATTTTCATTTATCCCTTAAAGCATAGGTATAAATTTGCTATAAAACATTTTAGAAAAATTATAATATTTTAATATCTAGTGATTATAAAAAAATGAAATAAAGTTTATTAGATTTATCATATTAGGATTTATTTAAGAATAGTATTTTTAATTTTTTAAAATTAATAATTATTAATATATTTTTAATTTTTTAATTTTTTATAATAACTTATTATTTAATAATTATAAAAAAATAAAATTTAGTTTGTTAGATTTATCTCATTAAGACCTATTAAATGATTATATATTTATATTTTTGAAATTAATGAATAGCAAGATATATAAGTTTAAAATTTAATTTTTTTTCATAATAATTTATTACATATTTATCTTTAAAATATTACTAATAAATTACATTTTTTTTTGAATTTTTACTTAAAAAATATAATAAAATTTACAGTGTAGAACAAAAAAAACCAGAATTTTTTTGAAAAATAAAAAGATGCAGATCTCAGCCAAATCAAGTCTAATCTGAATTATGTAAAAAGAAAAATAATCATAAGGTAAATGAGTATATAATTTTTTTTTGTATTACTAAATATTAAAATTTTTTTTCATTTTCTCCTCTTAATATCTTTAATTTTTTAAAAAAAATCCTAAAAATTAATTAATTAGAAATGATAATCTTCAAACAAAAAACTAACTATCAAGCGATCTTACAATTATAGAATCAAAGTATTTAGAAGGCTAGAAAAATTCATTAACGTACTGAAATTTCTTTCACAACTGTATACGACAACCTTACCAAGCTTTATAAGTCTGAAATAATTTAACGTATAGAAAAAAGTGGTTATCTGAAAAAGATTACAGCTAATGTATCAAGTGTATTAACCCAATTTATCTGTCAAGATTCTTTTATTTTAACAAGAATCCTGTTAATAAGGTTGTTATTAAAAGTGTAAATATGTCTTATAGGACTGTAGAAAGGCATTTAGCCAAAATTAAATACTAAAAAGATCTTCTAAGAATAATATCAATATGATCGCAGACTATAAATGTAAACAGATAAAATAAATCCAAAATTATCTTAATAATGATTGGGATAAAACTCTGTTTTCAGATGAGATTGCCTTTCAATTATTTCAGAATACTGTAGAGTCTGATATAAAAGACAACGACTGATATACCCTATGCATAAAGATCAAATAAAAATCTTTGCATAAGAAGGATTTTGTGTAAAAGAAAAAACAAATTTATATTATTTTTCTCAAATAATGAATGCTGAATTTTATGTAAACATACTTCATAGCCACCTTTCAGAGATTGAAGACTTATTAGAAAATGAATGATATTTTCAGTAAAACAATAATCTAAAACACACTAGCAATCATGCTAAAAAATTTTTTCAGGAAAATTTTCTTGAAGTTATTGACTGACTTTCTAACAGTTTATTCTTAAATCTGATAGAAAACCTTTGGAGTATTATTAAAAAGAATGTGAAAAAAAAAATGTCAAAGAATGCTGATGATTTGCGCTAATATATGATCAAAGAATAAGACAATATTCTAAAATCAACCCTAATTGGATTAGTAAGATCAATGAAACACCAATGTAAACTTATTATAAAAAATAATAGTGTTACGGTTAGTTCTTTAAGATGCTTATGAGTGGTAAGCGAAGCAATATTTATGGGTGGTAAGCAGAAG